ACTGGGACCAGTATGGGACTGGGATTGGGTACTGGGACCAGTACGGGACTGGGATTGGGTACTGGGACCAGTACGGGACTGGGATTGGGTACTGGGACCAGTCCGGGACTGGGATTGGGTACTGGGACCAGTCTGGGACTGGGATGGACTACTGGGACCAGTCTGGGACTGGGATTGGGTACTGGGACCAGTCTGGGACTGGGATTGGCTACCAGGACCAGTATGGGACTGGGATTGGGTACTGGGACCAGTCTGGGACTGGGTACTGGGACCAGTACAGGACTGGGGTTGGGTACTGGGACCAGTCTGGGACTGGGATTGGGTACTGGGACCAGTACGGGACTGGGATTGGGTATGGGACTGCAGGACCCACGGTCATGATGAACGGGTGGCCTGGGGACACCGGGGACACCGGGGACACCGGGACCAGTCTGGAACTGTGATGGGCTACTGGGACCAGTCTGGGACTGGGATTGGGTACTGGGACCAGTCTGGGACTGGGATTGGGTACTGGGACCAGTACGGGACTGGGATTGGGTACCGGGACCAGTCTGGGACTGGGATTGGCTACCAGGACCAGTCTGGGACTGGGATTGGGTACTGGGACCAGTATGGGACTGGGATTGGGTATGGGACTGCAGGACCCACGGTCATGATGAACGGGTGGCCTGGGGACACCGGGGTCACCGGGGTCACCGGGACCAGTATGGAACTGGGATTGGGTACTGGGACCAGTATGGGACTGGGATGGGCTACTGGGACCAGTACGGGACTGGGATTGGGTATGGGACCAGTCTGGGACTGGGATTGGGTACTGGGACCAGTATGGGACTGGGATGGGCTACTGGGACCAGTATGGAACTGGGATTGGGTACTGGGACCAGTCTGGGACTGGGATTGGGTACTGGGACCAGTCTGGGACTGGGATTGGGTACTGGGATGGGCTACTGGGACTGGGTACTGGGATGGGCTACTGGGACATGGGTTCACGGTCATGATGAACGGGTGGCCTGGGGACACCGGGGACACCGGGGTCACCGGGACCAGTATGGGACTGGGATTGGGTACTGGGACCAGTCTGGGACTGGGATTGGGTACTGGGACCAGTCCGGGACTGGGATTGGGTACTGGGACCAGTATGGGACTGTGATGGGCTACTGGGACCAGTATGGAACTGGGATTGGGTACTGGGACCAGTCCGGGACTGGGATTGGGTACTGGGACCAGTCCGGGACTGGGATTGGGTACTGGGACCAGTATGGAACTGGGATGGGCTACTGGGACCAGTATGGGAGTGGGATGGGCTACTGGGACCAGTATGGAACTGGGATTGGGTACTGGGACCAGGCCGGGACTGGGATTGGGTACCGGGACCAGTCTGGAACTGTGATGGGCTACTGGGACCAGTCTGGGACTGTGATGGGCTACTGGGACCAGTCCGACACTGGGATTGGGTACTGGGACCAGTCTGGGACTGGGATGGAACTGGGAGGGGTCTCTGTCTCTGGTCTCTGGTCTCTGGCCCCATGTGCAGATCAGGACCCCCATGGAGGAACTGGGGACA